GGGCGGTAGTGGTTCCTATTCTTCTAGGATTTTCCTTACTTTAACTAGGTGCTAAAGCATGATATCTTATTAGTATAGTGCCTATTATATCGCCGCTAATATCTATAGCTGGCTTAGTTTATTCACCTTAGTGGTGATTAATTACTAACTATTAATTAAGTTTTACAGCACTTATCTGCCGGGTTCTTTAAGGGCGTATATACTTAGAAGATGTGTTTTTAGCACCCTATATAGACTAAACCACTTACTCTCTAGCTTCTTTAATGATTTGTTCCTAACTAACACCTAGTCACTTTTTTTAAAGCCTATTTTTATTACTAGGCTGTTATATATTATTTTTATCTTTATTGCGCAGTTTAATAGTAGCTTATTTACTAGTGATTAGATATAGTTAATCTACTAAAGCCATTCCTCCGCCTCTGTAAGGTTGCCGTTCGCCGGTCCCTTATTATTATTGCCTAGGATGCGGGGGTTGACGCTATATAGAAGGTAGAAGGGGCTTTTTTCTATTATTATATAGGTCTATATGCGTGCGGCGAAGAGGGCCTATGGAAGGTATTTATTCTAGATCTTTATTAGTTTCCCTATAATATACTTTATGAGTATTTAACCTAGGAGGCTGTTGAGGTTCTCGACCTTACTATTTATCTATAGGTAATATAGTATTGTCATCTAGTATCTTATTTATAGAATCTTTAGATAGTGTTAAACTACCGCTATAAGCAAGTTAAGTCTGTTATTTAATAAGAGCTCATGAGGGGCGCCATAATTTATAAAGACTTTATTATGTAGGAATTTAGTGATTGCCTCTACTATGCCTTCTAGGACTATATAGGCCACTGGCTAACCTATTATATACTTAATTACTATAATAATCTATTAATTGCCATTAGGAGTCAGTGGTAGGGGCCTAATTAGGTTAATAGCTTATCTCTTAAATAGTAAGGCTATTATTAGTAGGTTGAGGCGTCTATATTAGAGGTCCTCCTATAAGCCTTATAATACCTAATATATGGGGTAGTCTTAGATGTGTTGTTTAATCTTAGTCTATATTATTAGCCACCATCCTTGGGGCTAAATGACGCCTATAAGTCCCAGGTGTCTAAGGTGTCTAAATTTATTATATATTTGCTTAACGAAGTCTATATAAAAAGGAACTAAGAGATATAGTGCTTTATAGTTATTATAAATATACTTTAGCTTATTATTATTCTCTCCCGCCAGGCGGAAGTTAGGAGTCATCTTTTTAATTATATATTAAAGACCCCAGTGCGCGGGTGCTTTACTTATTATTAGGTATATTACTATACCTTTTAGCCACTCCTCCTCTAAGTGGCCTTAAAGTGCTAATAGGGAGGCCATAAATATTTATTACTACTCTTATTAGACTATGTCTTCTGCCTTATCCCTAGGCCTATCTTTAATAAAGTTAGGTTGGCAACTAATGGTATTAGGGATAATTACTTTAGTCCCTTTTTAGTAGCAAATCTTTAGATTATATCCGCCGAACTCATTAATCTATTATATAAGTCTCTTAGAGTATGTCTTTATTATTAATAAATATTGTAAGCTCTTATGATCTATAATAATAGTTATAATAGTACTGTTTTTAATATAGTAGTCTTAAGTTTGTAGCACCTCCTTTATCGCCAGTAGCTCTTTCTCCTATATTAAGTAGTTTTACTCTATAGAAGATAGCTTTTATCTATTAAATATAATAGAGTGGTTAGCGCCATTTTCTACTGTCTATAGAAGAACTATATTAATAGCCTACTTAGAGGCATCTATTTTAATATAGAACTCCTTCTTATAATCTAGTAGATAGAGTACTAGGGCGGTTACTAGGGCTTCCTTTACTACTTAAAAGGCAGCCTTACATAATATAGTCTATATAATAGGTTAGAATTTCTTCATGCGCAATTTAGTGTCTGATTCCTTTAGTAGGTCATGTAGGGGCGCAGTGATGCGTATAAACCCCTATATAAATTATTAGTAGTAAGTAGCTAATCCTAGGAATTGGCAAACCTTATAGATGTTCTAGGGCCTTAGCTAGTTTAATACCGCTTTAACCTTCTTAGGTATAAGTGATATCTAGCCCCTTTTAATAATATGTCTATAGAACTCTAGTTTCTCTATAGCGAATTCGCATTTTAATGCTTTAGCATATAGTTAATATTCTTTTAGGGTGGTGAGGACCAGGTTGAGGTATCGGTAGTGCTTATTAATATTCTTAAAGAAGATAAGAATATTATTAAGGTATACTACTATAAAGCAGCTAATATACTTCCTTAAGATGTGATTTATTATTATCTAGAATGTTGCCGATGCGTTGCAGAGACTAAATAGTATAGCTAAGAATTTAAATTTACTAAACACTATATTAAATACTGTTTTTTTGACTAAGTTGTCTCTCATCTATACCTACTAGTATCCTAATAGGAGATTAATCTTTAATATTACCTAGCTCCCGCTTACCATATCTAGCAACTCCTAGATTTAGGGCAATGGGTAGCTATTCTTAACCATTAAATTGTTTAGCGCTTAATAGTTAATATATATTTACTACTCTCTTGTCGCTTTTTAAATAAATACCACTAGGAAGCCCTAGGGACTAGTGGAGGGTTAGATAAGCCCCTTCTGCTCTAGGTCCTCTAGTTGTTAAATTAGCTCCTTAAGCTTTTCTTATAAGAGAGAGAAAGGGCTAATATTGACAGGCGTGGCGTCACCCATGTTAATATTATATATAATATCTCATTTAGGCGGGAGGGCCGCCATAAGTTCTTGGCAGAAGATATTATACTTCTAGAGGACTACCTCTACCTTAAGATTTATATATAGCTTACGCCCATCTAGGAGCTTAGTAGTTTATTAAAGAAAATAGAGAATGCCTTTTAATTTCGCCTTATGCAGCACGCGTAGTATATGTTATGCTAAGATTATATTAATATAGGGCGTGATTATGACTTATTATTTAATATTCTTTAAGAGCATAAAGAACTGTTCGCCTTAGTGGTCCTAAAGAATCATCCTTAATTCTAACTATTTAATAATAGGGTTAGTAGCTTTTAGCCATGTCTATCCTAAGATAACGTTATATTTAAGGTTATTAATAATCTAGGTAGGGGTTATTCTTATTCATCTGCCGAGGCGTAGCGGGAGGCGTACTTAGTATATAGCTAGAATATAATCACTATTTAGTAGCGTCATATCTAGCTAAGTGCCCTTATTAATCTATTAGGATAGGGTATAGGTGAGTTTTTAAAGTACCCTGCTGCTCACAAAGTTGTTAGAGGCTCTACTATTAATCATATATTTAACCTTTAATTTCCCCTATTCCCTAGTGCTGATCTCTCCTCTAAAGATTAGCAGCCCTCCGCCTAGCATATTTATTTATACTAGTATTATTTAGGTTATTAGTTTATACTTTCTTTTTTATATTTTTCACTTTTCATCTCTTCATGGGGGTGGTAATCCCTGGGGGTCTAGGATATTAGGGAGGTTAATATTAAGGACCATAAAAGCCTTAAGCATTCGCGCCGCCAGCGCTTCTAGTTCTAGCGGTTAACTCTATTTCCCTCCCTTAGGGCCTTTATTAAGGGGGTTGTTATTAGGATTTCACTTAGTTAATAATCCTTTATATAATATCTAGGTTTCCTATATATAAAACAGAGTCCTCTCGCGCTAGTGATTAATTATTAGGGGTGCAGCATATATCTATTTATGGGGGTAGGCCTCCTGGGCAGGGCATGTAGTTGCCCTAGGGTGTTAATATCTATAGTATCTAGTGCTCTTATTAGCCTGTAGACATGTTGCGCGGCGACAACCCCTTTCTCATAAAGGGTAAATTTTATAATAACCCTGGCTAAGGTGGTTAGTTTATTAGATTTGCGCACCTACCACCCTTAGAGTTATTTTTAGCTGCCCATGATGAATTGTCAGATAAGTATATTCTCCGCCAGTAAGGGATTAATCTAGTTTATGACTTCCACTAGTTTATAAGTATATACCTAAATAGGTTACTTTTCTTAGGTAAGACTCTTATACGCCTCCCAGCAGTGTTCCTCACTAAGGTGTTTAGTATAGTTATTAGTAATCTACTTCTTAAATTTCGCCATAATTTTAATGGGGGTGCGGAGCTTATTATTAATAGAGCTTTATAAATGCCTCTATTATTCGTGCACCTTGCTATTAAGTTTTTATTTTACCACTAGGACCTTCTCTCTATTAGTGGCGAACTTCTTATATAAGACTTTTTTATCTTAAAAGTATTTATCTACTCACTGCAGCCATTTTTGGGCGCCCTCATCTTAATATTTGCCTATATATTTAGGGATCTAGTTAAGTTCTAAGATCTTTTAGTAGGGGCGTCTACCTTAGTTATTAAGATTATTAGTTAACTTTTAATGGCTAGTTTCCCTAGCGGCTGCTTAGGTGTTGTTCTGGGGACCTGGCTGCCTAATAGTTGCTTAGTGAAGGTTATCCTGGAGTTAAGCCACCTGCGCGCGGGCGGTCTTAAGTTCCTGGATCAGGTGGTTTACTTAGCCTCTTTTGCCTTAAAGCACTTACTCTAGGCGTCTAAGAAGAGGGCGAACATCTATCTTATCTGTCCTGATGGTTATGATCACTAAGAGGATTTTAAACACCTCAGGCGATAGGTGGTTCTGCACATTACTAATAAGGTTTATTATTAACTTATAGTAGAAGATTAAGTCTTTTATTTACTTAGTTTCTTTAGTAAAGATGCTTAATGATTCTTCTTTCTTTACTTAAGGGGTCTTTCATCCCTTTTATCCTGCTTTTAAATCCTATTAATCCTCAGATGTTGTCCGCGGAGCGGCAGTCCATTAGGGTCAGCATAGGGGCCAACCCCTAATATAATATACTACCAGATATAATATTCGAAAGCTAACGGTCTCTAAGAAATCTCTGTTCTATTGCTACCATGGGTCAGAGGGAAGGTATCTATATACCTCCCCTTAGCTCATTAAAAGCTGAGCAACCCGGTGGCAATAGAACTCTATAGAATCAATTAATCCCTAGTACAGAGCGAAAACTCTACATAACCGCTCCACCAGGGTCAGGAGATTTCGCGTCGTCGGTGAGCAGGCACCCTGGCGTTCCGCCGAGGTGATCCCGCTCATGGCCGCACGGGAGTTCGCAATATCGCTCGCTCGCGATATCACACTAGTAATGCTGATGACTATAATAGCGTTTAGTAAGGTATTTAGATAAGCCTTAAAAGCTAAGGAGAATCATAATGATATCCTAAGTAGTCTAGTAAGAGAAATATATTGTTCTTTTTTCTGTATAGTAATTGGCTACTAAACTTTATTAGTCTCATCTATAATGGTCGTGTAAAAAGTGTGGCCCAAACCTAATATAAATATAGAGCATAGACACCTTTAGGTGCTTTTAATGTTATAGTCACTATTAAATATAGAAATAGATTTTAGACTAGGTCTGCAACAGCTGCTGTAGTTTACTAAGCCTAAAATCTAACTCACTGCTGAATAGAAGCTGAAGTTCTAGGGCACTACTTAAGTCCACTTAGATGATTTATTCTACATAATAAATCAAGATTTAAATAAAGCCAAGCTTAATCAGCTGCGTTGTATTTTTCATAAAGAAGGTTATTATTATCTAGATGTTTATAATTATATTACTACTGTTATATCTAAGGAGCATCTTTAGGCCGTACTAGTATCTTTATAAGCCTTACTAACTAATGTCGCTAACTTCCTGCAGCTAAAGTTCCTGTTTAGACAATTATAATATTTATATAGATAATATTATATCTAAGTTAGAAAAGAGCTTTTACCACCCATAGAGCGCTAGTGGGCAATTAATATTTATCTAGATAATAATTTTAGTATTTCTTTCCATCTTAAATATAACTAACTACTACTTTATAGATATTAGTAAAGAACTCTAAACCACTCTTCTAGAAGAGTACTGCAATGAAAAGCCTCCTAGTGATGGTGATATTTACCAGAAAATTCGCCAGTATAACTGTAAAAATGATGACCATTTTTAAAAGCAGTGGTGGTCAAGGCTCTCAGGAAATAAAGAGAAGTGTTTAAGGGTATTACTACTTTATAAAAGGTTCCGCAGTGCATTTAATAGCCTACTGGCCATCCCTAGTCTCTAGGGCGGGTTACATATCAGATCCTTTAGTACATTAATGGCAATAAAATGTGATGAGGTAGGGCTTTTCTCAGGTATTTTAATTTTTAACTGATGGCCAATAAATAGGAAATACTTAATTACTTAGGCTTCATCTGGTTATTCTAGTCTTCACTTATAGATAATGACCTAAATATGCTAGTAAGGATTAACTAGTGAACAGTTAAGGTACTATAATCTATGGCACCATATTTTTCAACAAAGGATGCAATAGATGTTTATAATCTTATGATTAGTGGATAGGTCTTTATAAATTTTAATCTAGATGAGTATAATTATATCTAGTAGAAGCTTTATTAGTTTAATTATATGATTCTATCTCTCTACACTTTTTTTGAGGACCTTAAATATCTAATAGCATATGCCGAATGTGTATGTTGTCTTTTGAGTTTTGATTAAGATCACATAACTATTTATAGAGTAATGAAATATATGCTTTAACCTACCAAGAATAATGAGGAGGCTTATATTATTTAGCTATTAGAGACAGATTATAGGAAAGTCTATAGAGATTAATTTAATCTTAGCTATTAATAAGTCTGGTTATACGCCATGTGGCATTATCTATATATGGCCAAGGACTAATAGAAGGATAATCTACTCACTAAGGCCCCAAATGAAAAGGCTGATGAGGCTGTACTCCATAGTATTGCTATACTTATCTATAAATTGGGCTTTAATAGCTAATAGATTAAAGAGATTATAAATTATCCCCTAGATAGGCAAATTGCTCTAGGTGCTTTACTAAAAGCATAGAAGCCTTTACACTTCTAATATAACCCTAATAAAATAGATATGCTTATTAATTAGATAATAATGTACTTCTCTAGAGCGTTGCCTCTAAAGAAACAGCCAACTTAAGATCTTATTATTGACTACGCGATGAAGCCTAAGGCGTGATGTGGACTCCCCTAAGCCTAAGTATATATTTAAGACTATTCATCTCTTTTCCTTAATTGCCTATATATGAAGATTAAGGCAGAGTAGTATTTATCTAGTCTTTCTATTAGACGCTGCATTTACGTCGCCTTTTTTGGCATAGATCCTATTATTAATTTATCTTCCACTATTCTTATCAACGATCAAGAACCTCTAGTGGTCTATAGTAGAGACATTCTGACTATTTCTTAAATTAATGCCCTTTAAGGTGAACTTGCCAAGAAGACTACAAAACTTAGCCATCTAAAAATATATTATCAAAATCAATAAAAGAGGCTTAAGGAGGCTTAAAGAATAATAGCCATTTAGGCCAAAGATATAAAGTGGTTAGATAAGAGGAAAAGAAGGGCTAACTACAATGCGCCAAATTTAATAGACCAGTCATTAGCAGCTATAAAGAATACCCCCTAACCCTAGAAGATTTCTAATGGCAGGGCTATTAAACAGAAAAGGGCTCCAGCTTATAAGAAAAATAGAGAAATAGCAGCAGCATTATAAATTATAGAAGCTAGAATAGCCACACTATAAATTAAAGAAGAAAATACTCTAATAGAGGATAATATAATATAGTAAATTAAAGAATTATCTCTATATTCTAGTGCTATATTTATTATTAATTAAGAGCTAGACTAGAAGTAGGAGGGTCTTACCTAAGTAAGTAATATAGCCTCTTCCTTAGTTAGCACTAGTAGTTATTTAATTAAATCCTAGTCTATTTATAAGCGCTGTAAGAACCTAAGAATCACATCTTTATCTTATATATTTCTATTATCTATAAATTCTAGGTGCTCCTTGCGAACTTGATCTAATTTCCTGCGCACTAATATGGTTGTTCTCCTTAATATAACCTGGGTTCTATATAGGGTAGATTACCAAGTCGTTAAGAGATCAGCAATTTAGTAATAGTATATACCTTATAAGTTAAACAGCACTATAATTATCATCTCCTTATCTATCTAAGAAACCATTGCCATTTTAGATTCTTTAGTAATTTCTTTCTATCTATATATATGCTATAGTTTTTAGATATAATAAGTAGTGATTCTCTTACTATGGCATAATAGAGAAAAGACCACTCTTTTTACGGCGCAGAAGGGTATTCTTATTGAAATCTAGATCTAAGCGCCTATAGTAAGGCAATTTATCTTAAGAGCTACTTAATTTAACTAGTGCAGCACTGTTAGCCTGCATCAGCGCATTAGTATATATTATTATAGTTATATAATAAGAGTTAACCACTAACTAGGTACTAATTGAATAATTAATTAGATAATACTTTATTGGGATATAAGTCAGTTTATACTACTTTTTATTTAGCTTACTTAATAACTCATCGCCCTTTCCCTCTTTATATCTAGTAAGAAAGTCTATTAAGTGCTTAGTATAGAGTTTTCTAATCTAGATAACACCTTATAAGGCGCCTAAAATGTATTTACTGCTATTAGTTCCAAAAATTATATTTCCTTTTCTGTCTTATTATGAGCTCTAAGCGTATCCTATGGCTTCCAGAAGATGAGCTTCTTCTAATTAAATTATAAGAAGAATATATCTCTCTAATGTAGGAAAGTTTTACTAATATATTTAATAGTAAAATACCCTAGGAAAGGTGGAGGTCAGCCGACGCGATAAAAAAGAAATATAAGTTAAAAATAATATCTTAGTTATAATTATTCTATTTTAATTAGTGCTTTAATCTTGGGTCTTTAGATCCTCACCCTTATATTTAAAGTCTATAATTCTCTAAAAACCTTAACTATTACTATCTTCTATGTCTATCTTCTTCTAATATCTGCCTATTTAACTAAAGCCTTCTATAAACTATATTAGAACAGACTATAGTAATGGCAGTCTACTAGTCTAGGCTAGATAAGATTAGTGTTTATTAATTCTATAAAATAGTCTTTTAACACATCTATTAACTGCTCTAGTATTAATCTAGACTAAGTACCTTTATGAAGCCGGCTTCTTATAATAAGTATATAACCCTCCTTAATAATATTCTTCAGCAGTCGACTGCAGCCAATTATTAACTCTATAATAAAATAAATTAACAGTAGAAAATAATATAAGGAGTTACCTAAGTTAATATTATATATAAAGAAGATCTCTAGAGGCAGAAGGCCGCATATAACTAAGACCTATAATTATTTAAGATAGAAAGATAAATATATTATAAAATAGTTAGACATTAGTGAGATGAGATTATCTAGGTTAAGACAGCTAATCTTATACTAAAATAAACCATAAAAGTAGAGAGATGCCAGGCTGAAGCGACAGTGGCTAAACTAGATAGTATATAAAGGAGATTAGATAATCTAGTAAATATAATTTAACTATAGGAGGGCACTTAAGAGCAGCTGTAAGACTAGTCTAGGGAACTTAATAAAGTTATCCTTAATATTAAAAAAAGGATGACTACTATCTAAATTAGTATTAAGGAGAAGAATAAAAGGATCTTAGAATTAGAGATATTACTTAAGGAGGGAATATATATATATATATATAAGATATAGAGTAAGCCATAAGATGTCTAGTCTATATTTATTATTACTTATTTTCAACTATATAAGTTATATATTTAGTGTTTTAGTTAGTTTTTAATTCCTAAGTTTTAAGTTTTCTATTATAATAAGGGATTTAGATTGCGCCTTCTGTCTGTTTATTATTAAGTAAAATATTACTTCTAAAATTGCTGGAAGGACCTAGGAAAAGTACTCTTAGGCTTAAGTAATATAATATGACTTGATTGGCCGTGATGATTTTTAATATAGGAGTATAGGCTGTGTATACCTCTATAAACCAGGTCTTATTAAATGACAGAATTATCGCTAGGAGGATTTTATATGCTTTTAATAAGAAAAAGTTAAGTAAATAGATAATTTCTTTCTAGGCTATATAATATATAGTAATATAGTAAGGGCCATCTACTGGGTTGTTTTTATAATAAGCATAAAACTACCCAGGAGAAACATAGATATTATAAATATATATATTAGGACTAGACTATTTAATTAGACTATTACTAGAAGATAGAGCGTCCTAATTAAGAAGACTATTAGATAGAATGGTTAAAGCAACTTTTAGGCTTACTTAAAGAACTCTTAAGGTGAGTAATGGCTATATTTGCTTAGACGCCTTAAAGCAAGGGAAAAACCTTAGAAATATATCTTATTTAATGGCGAATAAGGTTAAATGCTTATAGGGTATATTATCTAATAAGGTATAGATATTATATAAGAAAAGGTACTTCTAATTAGAGAAAAAAGAATCTATATTAGTTATGCCACAACATTTATTGAGAGACCAGTCCTCAGGAGAGTCTATTATTTATAAGGGATAGACTTTAACTATTTAATACTTATATATTTATAGAAGTACCTCTGCGACCTGCTGACTATAATTAACCAAAAGGACTAGATTATAGTTAAATAGCTTAGGAGGGCGAAGATGAGCTAGGAACTTATATATTATAATATACTCTAATAAATTTAGGGATTTTAGATTAACCTAAGTCTACCCTTTTAGCAAAATAAACCCTAGCTCACAAGCAAGATTTATAAACTGATTTTATAGCTTAATCTAATTAGGTTATTATTATGGCCCTCTATATTAGCTTATACTAAGAGAGTGGCAATCAGTCAGGCCGTGAAAATAATGCATTATATATAAGAATATCTAGCAGTATATAGACTAAAATCCATATTAACTATTAGTATATTAGGTCTAAGAAAAATCATTTTTAGATACTTAAATGGGGAAGGTCTAGTTAGTAGAAGAGAGATAGCACTTCTTTATTACTTATTAAATTATATCTTTAAGCTTTGGCGGCAAAAGCATTTTCATTACTTAAGCCATAGGCTTAAGGTACTTAGTATTCTTAAAGAAGAGCTTTAAAGAGGGTATAATACTAGTATATTATATTATAGCCTATTTAAGTTGTAGACAGTCATTAGGATTAATAATATAAGAGAATACTATCCCTTTATTAAAGGCTTTATTAATATGCCATTAGT